GTGAGAGAATAGTGGTTAAGATACGGTCTCTGGAATCTCTCTGCCTGAGTCCAAATCCAGGTTCAGTGACTCCTTCACTATGGGACCTTGAGCACATCACTTAATATCTCCATAGCTCACTCTCCTTATCTGTATAATGGCATAATAATATTGCCTTCTTGGTAGACTTCTTGGGAGGATTAAATTAGTTCATATGAGTTAATGTATTAATGTAAAACACTTAGGACATAGCGATCACTTGTGTAAGATTTATAAACACTAAAGGGAATGTTTAAGGCAATGAAAGTTGTTTCTAAAAATGGCATAGGGTGTCTAAAGAGGTGGTGAGTTCAATACCCACTGTGGGGCTCACACGTATATTCCTTACAACCCTGGGAATATTATATGTAGCCAGATAATATATTTAAATACCAATCAGTTTTTTCCTGCCAATATTTCACTCTTAGCTCCCAACCCCAACACCCCCAAACTACTTTGTAATTTCTACACCCCTGGGACAACTTTACTTAGGGATATTCTCTATTTCAGGGTATGTCAAAAGCAGAAGGAGGGGAGAGAAGGGAATCCCTTCCTGGGTTTTGTGGTTCCATAGCTTAGGACTTGAAGGGAATAAAAAAGATTCAGGGTACAGAAGAAACTCAAAAAAAGATACAAACCTCTAGGCCTGGGACAAGGCCAGGATGCTCTAGGATAAGTGAAGAGAAAGGAAGTCCACAAATAGGATCCTGTGTTTCCCCTCTAGCAAAGTTCCAAGAGGGGGCAAGAACCCCTAGATAGACTTGAGAACTTGAGAGCAGAGATGCGCTTTGGTATAAGGCATACTTGAAGGCCTTCCTGCATTCCCTGGAGTAACAATGGCAGGAGGCAGAAGAGCCTTGGATGAGAATGAGGCAACCTGCTTGGACTGAAAAGGAAAGGCCAAAGAGAGGGGCTCCCTCAGCAGATATCATGGAGAGTAGACACCAAGCATTCAATGTCTCCTTTCCACAACGTGTACCATGTAAGTCCCCCAGAATTCAGACATAACCACAGGAACAGGAGGAATCCAAAACTGACAGTAAGGCCAGCTTCATGGGTGTGTGACCTATGCAGTCACATAGGACTCTGTCCTTCAGAAGAGTCCAGTGCTCGGTTTAATGCTCTGCTTTTGCCGTCTACAATTTTTAATAATTTTTTAACAAGGGGCTTGCTTTCCATTTTGCATTGGGCCCTGAAATGTATGTATTCATTCCTGCTTGACTTCTATTACTTTTTCTTAATCCCAGTAGAAAGAGGAATTCAAATAGAAATTAAGTTGATTAGAGAAAAGTAAAGTTATATTTCTGTATATCTGAGTTTGCAGGTTGATTTCTGTACTAATACATGTGAGCCAAGACCAGATGAGTAAAGTGAAACAAGTTCAGATCATGCAAATGAGTAGTGAGATTTGACTTGGATGCAGAGGGTGTGTTGGGTAGGGTAAAGATTAAATTAGAGAACGTGGTTGGAGGTGTGAGGTTGGTCCATCTTGAAGACCTCTACAATGGAGAATATCAAGACAGTCTGGCATATTTGGAATTACTTGAGGCCCTGAAATACACAGCCATGTTTGAAGCCTCCATATATAATACTGAAACTAGCCTTGTAACAAGAGAACACTTTAAAATGGAGAAGACAGCTAAGGGGCAGTACTTTGATCCCAGATAAACCTGACACTCAATCCTACCTCTTGCATCAGCTGGAGAGCATCAAATTTTCATTTCTCATTTACAGAAGGGGAAAGGTTCATATCACTTACTTTTGTGGGTTTCAGTGAGGATAAAATGGAAAGATGTCCATATAGAGTTGAGTAGAGTAGGGACTCCCAAGCTCACTGTATAAAACTCATAGAGAACTATTTACAAGTGAAGTGATCCTTTTCTTGAGTTTGAATATCTACTATACGACAGGCTGCATCTTTGAAGACCATGCCTAGAATATTTTGTTGTTCAATAAATGGATATATAGTGAACACACATTGCAGGAAAATGAGCCAGTGTGGGCAAAAGGCTCTGGGAATCCAGTCAAGTCCGGTGGGAGTGGGGCTTGGGCCTCTAACAGTACTGGTTCAACCAGTAACCAGCTTATTGGTTCACTCGTGAAAAGAGCAAAATAAAAATCCCATGGAACTATACTATTGTTTCTGTGATAGGTAGGAACTTTACCAAGTTCATTGCTACTTTTGATCTGCTAAAACATGTGCATTTGGTTCACTAGAGAAATAATACTTTTCTCTGATACCACCATGGGGCTTTGCTTTCTCCCTTTAATGGCATTTGAACAAGGCCCTTCTGGTCCTACAATAAATATTGTACAGGAATACTTTTATACATGAGGAAATATATCTTTTACCACGACAATCCAGGCTTTTCTAGGTTAAAAAAAAAAAAAAAAGTCAGGTTAACATTCAGTTTTTCAATGCAGACAAGTGATCACTAGGGAGGGAACCAAGATCAGAAAGTTCATTTTAACAGGGACCTGA